GAGCGTGTGGTCGGGTGGAGGCAGAGAGGCAGGAGGATTGCCGCGAGTGAGGCGCAGAGGCGTCCGTAAACCCGACACGGCAGAAGCCGTTAGCAGAAGCGGAAGCGGCTGGAGCCGAAGCAGGGTCCCGGGGGTGAAGGCGGTGAGCGCCACAGAGCAGGAAGATGCTTTTCTTTTGAACCGCGATTGTTCAGTCTCCGTAGAGACTGTCAAAAATTGCCAATGCCGACTGTATTGCAAGTCGTCACGGCGGGGTATTGGGAAAAGTTTTCAATTAGCAATAATCGCGCCTCGGATAAACCTCATTGGCTACGATACTGCCACTGCGCAAAGCTGGAGAGCGGCGCCCCCGGCACGTCGCCCCCACGAAGCCGAGGTCCTGTTTCAGAAACGGGGGTTTTCGGGTCGGCGGGAAGAGCCCTCGATCCTCGTTAGGCTTAGGAATGTACCACCAAATCCACTCTCATGGTGCTCTCTGTGGGCTGCGTAGGAGGGAGATTTCTGGGTTCATTAAGTGGGTTTGCGGGGGAGGGAAAAATGAAGCGATGCATTGTGGGATCGGACATGCTAATAGACTCAGTTCGGCGGGCGCAAGGAGCGATTGGAGGAAACGGTGCTCGTTTGGCTCAATGTTGCCCCCTTTTCCAAGGAGGCCTTCTTGTTTATGATTTTATACACAATGAAGTATGTGTGTAATATCTATATAACGGCGTACAGATTAAACTATCTTAAGGGTAAATTCGGTGTGGTTGACTATATTCTCATTCATCTCCAGAACCTTCTGATCTTCCCAAACTCTGTAGGCAGTAAGCTCTGAGCTCCCTAGCCACTTTTCATGCCAGCCCGTGACAAACGCTCTCGCTCTAGGCACTTCACATAACTGAAAACAAGCAGCGCGTGTTTCATTGCTGTAAGATTTTTTTATTTATTACAATTTATTCACTTTGTGTCCCAGCTGTAAACCCCTCACTCATACCCTTCCAGTCCTCCCCTCTCTCCCTCTTCTCCCAGGCACCTTCTCCAGTCCACTGATAGGGGAGGTCTTCCTCCCCTCCCATCTGACCCTAGTCTATCAGGTCTCATCAGGACTGTCCGCTTTGTCTTCCTCTGTAGCATAGAAAGGCCACCCTTCCCCTTCCCCCGCTCAGGAGGAGGAAGAATTCTTTTTAAACTAGGTGTGTCGAGACATACCGCTAATCCTAGTACTTGTCAGAGGCCAGCAAAAACTACAGAAAGACCCTGTCTATAAAAAAGAAAGAAAGGAAAGGGAAGAAGGGAAGGAAGGAAGGAAGGAAGGAAGGAAGGAAGGGAGAGAAAGAAAGAAGCAGAAAGAAAGAAAAAAAGGAAGGGGAGAGAGAGAGAGAAAGGATTTATTGTTAAGATTTCTTTATGTGTATGAGTGTTTTACTTGCCTGATACCCGTGGAAGTCAGAAGTGGGCATCACGTCCTCCGGAACTGGAGTTACATGGGTTTATGAGCCACCATACCGGTACTGGGAACCCAACCCAGGTCTTCTACAAAGAAGCCAGTAAGCCAGTAACTGCGGAGCCATCCCTCTCCAGTTCCTTACTGTAACGTTTTATGACTCATCCGCCTTGTAGCGCGCATTGGTACTTAATGCCTTTTTATGATTCAATCATATTCCATCTAATGGAATTTTATTTACCATTTCATTTTTCAGTTAGCAGTAAATGGTGCTGTAGGTGAAATCCACTGGCTGCACACACCTTTGGTCTAATACAAATAATGCTGAGGTTGCTGCACAAGTGTCAGTTTTTCTGTTTTCAGTTATTATTATTATTTTTGTTTATGTTTGTGTGTATCTGTGTAGGTCAGAGGACAGCTTGTGGGAGGTGGTTTTCGCCTTCCACCGTGTGGGTCCCAGGGACTGAATTCAGGTGGGACTTGGAGGCAGTCACCCTTACCCACAGCTCCATCTCACCAGCCTATGCCCTGTCTTCAGTTGTTTGGGGTATATACTAGCAGTGGAATTGCTGGCTCATGTGGAAATTCTGTGTTTAATTCTAAGTGAAGATTTTTGTTTGTTTGTTTTGAGACAGGGTCTCTCTGTATAGCCCTGGTTGGCATGTAATTTGCTATATATACCAGGCTGGCTTCAAACTCACAGAGATCCTACCTCCTCTGGCTCCCAGTGCTGAAGATCAAAGGCCTCCAAACCAACCCCCATCCCCTTTTGTGGTATAAGAAATGAAATCCAAGGTTTGTACATGGTGGGCTTCCTAACTATTCTGTGAAAATACTTTAATTTTCACAGAATTAAAGTATTAAAGGAGAAAGGCTAAAAGGCTTTGTTACCCAGAACTGGTGGTGCACACCTTTAATACCAGCACAGGCAGAGGCAGAGGCAGAGGCAGAGGCAGAGGCAGAGGCAGATGGATCTCTGTGAGTTTGAGTTCGAGGCCAGCCTAGTCCACAAAGTGAGTTCCAGGACAGCCAGGGCTACACAGAGAAACCCCATCTCAAACAAACAAAATAACAAAAACCCACCACCACCACTAACAACAAAATGCCCTCCTGGCATGAGGCTTAGTAGCAGAGGGCTCAAGGAGCATGCTTCAGGCCCTGAGTTCAATTTCAAGTATCTCGAAAGAAATTAAACAGAAAATCGAAAGGCAGTGAGATGGCTCCATGGGTAAAGCAGCCAAGCCCAACTTTGAGCCCTGGTCCCACATAGTAGAAGGAGAAAAGCAGCTCTCACTAGTTGTCCTCTGACCTCTATGTAGATGCCATAGCATGTGTGTGCCCGCCCATCATCAGTAAACACACATGTAATAGAAACCTATGAAAATATTAAAAGAGTGGCACTTTTGTCCCCTCAGGTTCATTATGAGAATTTTAAAGCTGAAGGCCAATTTTTGTTTTTTCAGTTTCCTAACTGGAATGAACATCAGTGATAGAGCTCTATCTTTCTGTGCTTCTAAGTCCCAAAGCCTCCTGTTCTGGAGCTGAGATTATAGTTTATTTCACTGGGAGGAGAAGTCACCTTTGGAGAGTAGAGACAGCAGAAAAACACCCAATTTCCTTCCATAGCTTCCTTCCCTAGCTACCACCCAATCTGCTATTGAATAGGGAAAGGGTCCTTAGGCAGGTATCAAAGTCCCTGCCACTTCATAGTCTAACACACACACACACACATACACACACACACACACACACACACACACACACACACTCACACACACTGTCTGATGTCCGATTGAATGTTATAGAGTGGCAGATTTTGCTGGCTTTACTTTAGGAACAGCAACAATATGAGCAAACAGATTCCAAGTCCTCTCTTTAAACCAGTGACATTAGAATTCTGAACCAGGCACAGTAGCCTGGACAGCTGCAAGCTGGAAGCCAGCCAGGGTCCAGAGTGAGTTCTAAGCCAGCCTGGGCTATGGAGAAACACTATCAAAACAACCAACCAAACCAAACCAAAGAACAACTGCAACAACAAAAAACAAATAACAACAACAAGAAATTACCAAAGCAAAGCAAAAATCTGGGAGTGAGACCCAGGCATTGTATTGTTTATTTCATAAAAACATAAGAAATAACGTTGGAGAGCTGAGCTGGGAAGGTGCACACCAGCTATCCCATTTCTCTCTGCTCTCTTTTGTACAGGAATGTGGGTGCTTTTATCCAAACTCATGTCCTCCTGCTTGAGGAGCAGCTGAGCCTCAGAGCCTCCAGCAGTCATAATCCATTTTGTTTCTTAGAATAGAAAAAATTGTGTGTGCATGTGGGGCAAGGGACATCTTTGTGGTCGGTGCCCTCCTTCCACCTCTGTGTGGGTCCCAGAAATCAAAATGAGGCTGTTTACCTGCCAAGACACCCCATCCATATTTAACTCATAGCAGAGAATTTAATTGCTTTGCAGTGGGAGAGAGCATGCGTCCTGAAGAGGAAAATGAGTCAATTTTGTCAATCTTGGTGGCTCACACCTTTAGTTAATCGCAGTTCCAGGGAGGCAGAGGCAAAGGTAGAGAAATTTCTATGAGTTCCAGGCCAGGTAAGGCTACATAGAAAGACCCTGTCTCAACAAGACAAAACAAAAACAGAAAGAAAGAAGGAAGGGGGAAAAAAAAAAAACCCCAACTCTTTATTAGTAAGCATGTCAGAGTACACAGAGAAACTCTGTCTTGAAAAACAAAAGAAAAGAGTCTTTTGGGGTGGCAGTGGGGAGCTGGAGAGATAGCTCATTGCTTAACAGCATTACCGTTCCCGCACAGGACTGGATTCCATCCCTAGCACCCACACGGCAGTTCACACCAGCTGTCACTCAAGTTCAAGCCCTCTTCTGGCTTTCACGAGCTCCTGGATGCATGTAGGCACAACAGCCCACACATATTTAAAAAAAAAAAAAAATTAAACCGACTTTAAAAAGCGTCTTTGGTGAGAAGTGCCCGCTAGTATGAACTCAGGCCTGCCCAAGGTTAGGCAAACATGCTGCCACTGAGCTATAGGCCCAGCCCTTTACGGTATTCACCGAATTTCCCAGACTGGCCTTGAACTCGTGATTCTTCCGCCTCAGCCTACTGAGTAACAGAGATTATAAGCCTGTGCTACCAGTGAAAGAGTTTCTTTAAGACAGCGAATTCCTAAATCAGGGCTGTTTGGGTGATATTTTTGCACGCAGGACACCATTTCTTTGCGGGCCACGGTGGCACTAGCCCGTAATCCCAGCACTTGTGAGGTGGAGCCAAGAGGATGAGGAATTTGGAGTCTGACTAGACTACGTGAGACACCGTCTCAGCAAACAACACAACTCAGAAAAACAAAACAAACATAAAAACCCCAAAACGCAATCATTGGTTCCGATGTCAGCAGCATACCCGGAACCTTAACTGAGTTGACCAGGAAAGACAGGCGGAAGTCGGTGGGGGAGCGCGGTAGGACCTTGAAGTGGGAGACCGTAGAATCCTGGGACTTGTAGTTTCCTTCCAATTATATCAGCTTCATGGACTACACTTCCCAAGATGCAAACGTAACAAGCTAGTCCCACTGTTGGGTGAGGATTGTGGAAGGTAAGTGTTCTGATCCAGCTATAGGTTTCCAGCTGAGCATTTTTACAGGGGATTCCATTTGTCCTCTTTGTTCTCGAAGGAACATGGGGAATTTCTCCCCGCAAAACCCTACTGTTTGTTTAGCTGTTCACGTGTAGCCGTGGAATGTCACGGAGAAAGCAAGGTCCTGATCTCCTGTTTTAAGAAGCCACGCCTACAACGTGTGTCTGTCGCTACGTAATTTCTGCATTATATCAAAGAACACGTCAAAGTCTTGTTTTCACAACTAGAAAACCTGACAGGCAAGCGTGTATGTGTGTTGTCTTTTTCTGTGTTCAGAATAGCAGAATTTACAACGCAGAGTAAACATGAGATGGGGGAAATGAAGGAAATTAGGGTGTGTATGTGAAGACACAAATAAAATCAAAAGCCTGAAGAATCAGAGCAACGCCGAGAAAACCTCCGAAATTCGGCTGGAGCATAGCTCGCTGAAAGAGTGGTTGATGACTTAGCATCCTCATGGCCCAGGGTTTGACCCCCATCGCCATGTGGAAAACAAAACAAAACAAAACAAAAAACAAAACCCTGACATATTAGAATGCAAATATACCATGGAGAAATAAGATTATTTCGGTTTAGTTAGGTGTGCCTTGTAATCCTTGGCCTGAGCTACAAACAACAGTATCTTAAAAAAAAAAAAAATCTGATTTAAAGAGGGTTATCCTTTGAGGGAGAATATTAACAAAAATATAGGTAAATATTACTATAACATGTTTACATTAGTAACATGTGAAAAATGGGTTATTAAAGTTTGTTTTTTAAATATTTAAAATTTTTTTTCAATTAAATTTTACGTGTTGGGGTTTTTTACCTTCACATACATATATTTGTGTGCCACTTTTTTCCCCCAGTGCTTGCAGAGGCCAGAAGAGGCTGTCTGTCTGATCACCTGAACTGGAGTTACAAATGGTTGTTAGCCACCATGTATGAGCTGGGAATTGAACCCAGATCCTCTGGAAGAGCAGCCAGTTCTCTCTCTCTCTCTCTTTAGATTTGTTCATTATTTATACAACATTCTGCCTGTGCACCAGATCTCAATATAGATGGTTGTGAGCCACCGTGTGGTTCCTGGGAATTGAACTCAGGACCTTTGGGAGAACAGCCAGTGCTCTTAACCCCTGAGCCATCTCTTCAGTCCTGTAGCGTCCTATAACTGACTTCCTACACTTAGCATTTTCCTCCTTAACTCCATCTCTGCCTTTCTGATTCTTTTGAGTATAGCCCAGGCTGGCCTCCAGTTCTCTTGTTAGCTGAGGATAGGTAGCCTTACGCTCGTGATGGTCCTCCTATCTCCCAAGTGCTGCAGCTTCAGGAATGAGCCACTATGGCACATTTTCATAGCTGAATGGAATTCCCCTGGGTATTCGCCGGTGGTCTGCTTGCTTTGTAAAACCCAGCTTCTCCCACGGATTTCTTTTTCTCTAGAATGCGAATGACTTTCAGATCAACAAAGGGCCGTTGGATCACCCACCTCAGCCGGCCGTCGTCGCATGGATCCACTGGGTTATTTGTGCCGCCCAGCCCTCCTTTGGACCCTGAGAAGATCAAAGAGTTACAGCGCTTCATCACCCTTTCCAAGAAACTTCTAGTGATGACAGGCGCAGGAATCTCCACCGAGTCTGGAATCCCAGACTACAGGTCAGAAAAGGTGGGACTTTACGCCCGCACTGACCGGAGACCCATCCAGCACATGGATTTCATAAGCAGCGCTCCAGTCCGCCAGCGGTACTGGGCCAGAAACTTCGTGGGCTGGCCTCAGTTCTCCTCTCACCAACCCAACCCAGCACACCGGGCTCTGAGCAACTGGGAGAAACTTGGGAAGCTGCACTGGTTGGTGACGCAGAATGTGGACGCTTTGCACTCCAAGGCGGGGAACCAGCGGCTGACAGAGCTCCACGGATGCATGCACAGGTGCAGGCGGGTACGGGGTTTGGCCATAAGGGGTTCCCCAGGTCAAAGGGCCGGTGGCTGCCTTGACCAGGGTTGTCTTAGATCCAGAGGAAAGGCTTCCTAGGCAAGTTGTTGACTTTGGAGTTAGACCTAGGGATCTGAGGGAGGAAGTAGGGACAGAAACAGGGAACAGAGCAAGCCAGGAAAGGATGCTTTTGGGCAGGCGCCTGCCTTGGTGCAGTGTGCGCATGTGCAAAGCTCTAGGTTCAGTTTCCCAGCCGCAGGAAGAATACTGTGTGAGTGGGGCCGGCCCGCAGTGACCTGCTGTCTAAAAGGTGCTTCGGGGTTATCTCACCTGTACAGAAAAGCCACCAAGAGGATGGTGGATAGCTTTGTTCGCCCTGAGTTTGGGATGGAAACAATTATTTCACCCAAAGTGAAGAAAGCTGTTCTGTTAGTCAGCCATCTCCAGTCCTGCCTTGGCCCAGCATCGCTGTTGGAGGATTAAACCCCTAATATGCTTGCTGCTCCTCTCCTATATTTTTTTTTCCGGTTTTTCAAGACAGGGTTTCTCTGTGTAGCCCTGGCTGTCCTGGAACTCACTCTGTGAGACCACAGAGATCAGCCTGCTTCTGCCTCCTGAGTGCTGGAATTGAAGGTGTTCACTACCTCCCGGCCCTTACATTATTCTTTGTGTATTTATATTGAGACAGTAACCTGTAATTTACTAGGTGGACCAGACTGGCCAGGAACAAACAGAGATCCGCCTGCCTCTGCCTGCTGAGCTGAATGCAGGGACTAAAGCACCACCATTACTCCCTCCCCCCCCCCCCCCCCTTTTTTTTTGAGAGAGGGCCTCTGGCTGCCTTGGAATTGGTTTTGTGGCTACGGATGACTTTGGCCCTTTGTGTTTGTGTATATTAGGGTGCATGTACCTGTGTGTTTGTGGGAGACCAGAGTATCCTCCTTAGTTGTCTCCACCAGCTCTGGAGTCCCAGGAGTCCCAGGCATCCTCCTGCTTCTGCCCCTCAGAGTTGAAGTGATAGGCCTTTCCTTTTACACGGATGCTGGGGCCTGAACTTTGGTTCACCTGTGCCCAGCAAGCAGCCTTCCAAGTCAGCCATCTTCTCAGACCCAGCCCTGAATTTCTGGTCCTCCTGCCCCCACCTCCTGACTGCTGGGTTACAAGTGTGGGAACCACACCTAGTTTCTGGGGTGCTGCGATCCGACCCAGGGCTTTGTGCACACTAGGCAGGAACTCCAGCAAACTAACTGCATCCCCACTGTTCAGAAAGTGTCTTTACAGGGAGTTGTGGCAGCTCCTGTAGTAGGTGGACAGAACAACACCGAGGGTTAGGGTTTGAGCTGAGGAAATGAGTGGAGAACATACGTTGACGCCCTAAGGACAAAACCATGCCAGCAAAATAGCACATACACTGGCAAAGTGCAAATGGAGTAGATAAACGCCAGTCCCTACATTGCTGTTCTAGAGCAGTGCTTCTTAACCTTCCTAACGCTGTGGCCCCTTAATACAGTTCATGTTGTGGCGATCCCCACCCATAAAATTACTTCCATTGCCACTTCATGACTGTAATTTCGCTACCATTACGGATGGTATTGTCAATGTTTTCTGACTGTCTTAGGCAACCAAAGGCGCCTCAACCTACAGGCTGAGAACCACCGTTCTAGGAGGTTGCAAAGGGATGAAAAGTGTTCACTTTGGGTGTCCTGAAATGGGGCGGGGCTGGGGCTGGGCGCCAGGAAAAGAAGGTGACTGTTTTTCCTGGTGGCGGGGGTGCTGAAAGTGGTCGGGATGCTCTGGTACCTCCCAGGAACTATATTCAGCAGATCTCATATTTGGTTTTAGAGTCTTGTGCCTGAACTGTGGGGAGCAGACTCCCCGCAGGGCACTGCAGGACCGCTTCCAGGCGCTGAACCCCCGTTGGAGCGCTGAGGCGCAGGGCGTGGCCCCCGACGGTGACGTGTTCCTCACGGAGGAGCAGGTTCGGAGCTTTCGGGTCCCGTCCTGTGAACGATGCGGCGGCCCTCTGAAACCAGATGTCGTTTTCTTTGGGGACACAGTGAAGCGAGACAAGGTTGACTTTGTGCACCAGCGCGTGAAAGAGGCTGACTCCCTGCTGGTGGTGGGATCGTCCTTGCAGGTACGGGATCCCGTCAGGGCCTCAGCTGCTTGCTCTCTGTGTGTGGGTGCATGTCTGTGTCTGTGTAGGTCAGAGGACGACTTGTGGGGGCCAGTTCTGTCCGTTCTGACCTTTCCCCGATCGTCTGGCACCGTGGCGAGCATCTTTACTGCGGAGCTCTCCGGCCCCTCAGCTCCTTTTCATCTCTTTCAGAGGGTGTGGGGGTGGTTCTCTTCCTGGATCGAGAGCCATCACTCTTGTCTTCTGTCTGGCCAGGTGTTCTCTGGTTACAGGTTCATTCTCACCGCCCGAGAGAAGCAGCTCCCCATCGCCATCCTGAACATCGGACCGACACGGTCGGACGACTTGGCCTGCCTAAAGCTGGACTTCCGCTGTGGGGAGCTGCTGCCTTTAATAGACCTGCAGTGACTGCAGTCTGACGTTCAGAGGCTGGAAACGGACGTTGAGTCCTGCTGCTAAAGGTAAAAGCCTTCTCGGAGGAAAGGGTCTAGCCAGGTGTGGCTCAGAAGGCCGAGAAAGACAGGGGCCTGGTGCTCAAGGCCAATCTCAGCTACATGGTGCATTCTAGGCTAAATCAGGCCACAGGCATGAGACCCTAACTCCAAACAACAACAAAAAAACAGATGGCAGATTAAGCTTCCTACTAGACCGAGAGACAAGTGACAAAAGAGACAGTTCTAGACTTAACATAGGACCACTTTTTAATTAATTAAACTTTTTTTTAACACAGTGGATGGGATTTTGTTGTTATTTATTCGTTTGTTTTGTTTTGTTTTTGAGACAGGGTCTCTCTGTGTAGCTGTGTCTGTCCTAGAACTCCCTCTGTAGACCAAACTGTCCTCAAACCCACAGAGGTATACCTGTCTCTGCCTCCTGAGTGCTGGGATTAAAGGCGTGCACCATCACCTCCTGGTACTTTATTGCTGTTTATGGTCCAGTAATACTCTATTGTTGTTTTTGGTTACTTTATTTTTTTCTTTTTCTTTTCTGAGAAAGGGTTTCACTATGTATCAGTAGATGTCCTGGAACTCACTATGTAGACCAGACTGACCTCAGACTGAGATCCACTTGCCTCAGTGTTCCCTGAGTGTTGGATTAAAGTCAGTCACCACCACACCTGGCTGTCTGTATAACAGCATTTTCACGAGCTCTATTTAGTTTTGTGTGCCTGCTCATTTGTGTGGATGCACAGACGACAGACGTCATGGCATGAGTGTCCAGGTCAGAGAACAACTTATAGGAGTCCATTTTCTCCTTCTACCGTGTAGGTTCTGGAATTGAACTCATGTCCTCAGGGGTAGCAGCAAGCACCTCTACCCGAAGAGCCACCTTACTGGCCTTGGGTTTGTCCATTCATTTGTTCGTTTCTTAGAGAGGGTCTGTATGTAACCCTGGCTGGCCTCAGATCTGCTCACCTCTGCCTCCAGAGTGCTGCTGGGATGGAGGGTGTGTGCCGCCATGCCCGCTCCATCCCGTGTTTTTAATGAGAAGGCTGATGCTTCTTCCTCCCCATTTCCAGTTTATTTATCTTGGCCTTAGCTTGTTTCATTTCTTTTCAGATCCCTGGTGATTCTTCCCTTTCCCCTCAAACGAATGGAAGCTTACTGACTGCGCCCGACAGGCGGTGGCAGAGCAGTGTCTCCCAAGGCTGCACCCTCCTGTTCACAGACCCGCTGTGCTGCCCCAGGGCAGTTGAGAGCTGCTGCTCCCACTCCCACCAGGAAAGGCTTTTTCAAAGCTGCTGCTCTGGGTGGCTAGCTGTGTCACCTTCCTTATCATATCAGCAGGAAGAAGAAGAAACCCCTGGGAAGTACCAGAAGCCAGAATGGTCTGGAGGGCCGACCTTGAAGCCTCACTGATCCAGGGAATAACCAGGAAGGCATTTATAATTCACTTATAATTCCAAATGGTTGTGTCTGACTGAAGAAGCACTTTGAAATTTTTGACAGCGTGAGCGATAACAAAAATGGTTTTTTATTAAGTAAATAAATTATTTTTCAATAGCGTACCAGGTGTGTGGACTGTGCATATATATACCAGCTAAGAAGAAAGGGGGCTTTACGTTCCTGTGCTGTAAGGATTTCTACTTGATGTTAGCTTCCCAAAGGTGACACCTACCTTGAGTGTGGTTTGTAGAGAGAACAGATAATTCCCTGTGGGTTCTTCAGCTGACTTGTTTGATCAGCCTCATGACTGATACTTGCAGGCATTTTTTTCGTTTCTTTCCTTTCTTTCTTTCTCTCTTTCATTCTTTCTTCTTCTTCTTTTTTTTTCTTGGTTTTTCGACAGTTTCTCTGTGTAGCCCAGGCTGTCCTGAGACGCACAGAGGTCTGTGCTGGGATTTAAGGCGTGTATCACCACTGCCCTGGTGAGGAATGCTTTCTTCTACAGCCCATGCCCACCACCCTGTGGGTGACACCACCCACAGGGGGCTGGGCCCTCTTGCATCTATCAAGAAAATGCTCAAGCCCACAATAAGCCCACAGGCCACTACGATGGCCGAAATCCTTCAGAGGCAGTTTTCCCTTTCCAGGTGTGTCAAGCTGACAATCAAGATTTACCATGGGGCTGGAGAGACTGCTCAGCAGTTAAAGGCACTTTCTATTCTCCCAGATGACCGGGGTTCAAATCTCAGCATTCCACATGGTGGCTGGCCAAATGCCCCAAACGCCTGTGCGTTTGGCCATTTTTCATGTATCCTCCCCACTAGTGCTCCAACACCTCCTTTTCCCTACTCACCTCTTACCAGCATAAAACCTTGTAGTGGATGAGTTGAAATCCCTCGTTTTCGTGCTCAAGCTCCCATTACCCTTCCAGCCAAACTCTGGACAGACACAGCCACTACCCGGCGCTACACTACGCCTGCGCAGGAGGCTCCGGTCGCACCTGCGGCTGGAAGGGCGGGGCCTGAGCTCTGGGGTGGGAGGGGTGGAGTGGAGGACTAGGTTCTCTAAATGAGAGACTGAAGGCCACGTGACCTCAAACCAACCAATCATATATCTTACTCCGAAATCAGGTTGCTTAGGGAATCACAGATTAACCTGGCTGTACCTATTGGGTCACGTGATATAGAAAGGTCCAGAAGACCTTTTTGGTCTGTTTGTTGCAAAAAAAGTTTCTTAGCCTGTGGCGTGAGCTAAGACACTCTAAAGGTGCAACGGCCACCATGATGTCCTGCCTTCAAATCATCTACCGCCAGTCCCGTTTGGTTTCCTATATCCCTCAGAGGTGCTTTGGGGTTGGTTCAGAGCTAAGTTGTAACCTTTAGTGTCTAAGTGACACTGCTTCTCTTCTCTCCTTTCTGTCTTTGTCTTTCCTCCCCTTCCCATCCCTTCTCTTCCCTCCTCTCCAGTCCCTTCCCCTGCCTCATCTCTCCCTTCCCCATCCCCATCCCTTCGCCCCCCCCCCAGCTTCCCATGACTCCCACACTGGCTTCTAATTCACCATTCACCGTGTAGCTGAGGATGACCCGAGGCTTCTGAGTGTCAGGGCTACAAGTGTGCACTCATGCCCAGTTTTATTCAGTTTTGGGAATCGAACAAGGGCCTCGTGCATCCTAAGCAAGCACTCTTTCAACTGAGCTGTATTCTCAGATCTCTTTTGTTTTTAACACTTGAAAGAAAAATGGGAATACACAGCAGTCTTCTGAAACGTAAAGGCCTTCTTTAAGCTTCCAGCTTCTTTTCACCGAGCTGGGGAAGGGGGCCTGTTTCTGGCTTTTGTAGTTCTTTGAGGGTTAAGTTTCTACTCTTGAGTTGTTACAAGAGAATCCTAGGAGCCAGAGGTTCAAAGGATGCTAAGGCACTTCCCTCTGCCATTGGATTGGGTCTCAGGTTAGAAAAATAATATTCCTCATGTTATCAACAGATCAGACTATCAGAGGCTTTAGAGACACACAGGCCTGGTGCAGAATAATCATTGATAGGGATTGCAAATCATCATCCAGTTTTCTTATTTACTTATCTATCTATCTATCTATCTATCTATCTATCTATCTATCTATCTATCTATCTATTTTTGAGACAGACGGCCATCCTGGAACTGGCTCTGTAGACCAGGCTGGCCTCTAACTTGGAGATCCACCTACCTCTGCCTCCTGACTCCTCGGCTGAAAGGCTAGCAGCTGCCACCCCGACATCTGCTCTTCAAGGTACTCACTTCCGGGAAACATCCCGTTCTTCAGCTTCCAAGGCTAGATGGAATGATTTTCTCTGAGGATCTAGTTATGTTCGGTAGACAGAGACTACAATCATGAAAGCCAGACTCTTTCAGTAGGTGCTTTATTAGAGGGCGCGCTGTGAAGACAAGGCAGGCAGGGATGGCATAGGCAGGAACTTAGGTACAAGTCTTCTAACAGTATTTCTTGGTGTTGAGGTTTTTGTACTGCTTGTTGTACGGAGCCTTGGAGAAGCAGATGGCGGCCGCGCGGTCACAGTTGCAGATGAACGCCTCGCATTCCTTGTTTTTGTCTGGAGAGAGAGAACAGGAGGTTGAGGGAAGCCTGTGACCCGCCTCTGTACAATTTGTAACTGAAAGAAATTGGTGGCCATCTGATCAGTTGCAGCCATAGGGCTGAGTGAAGCAAGCAAAAGTACATTGGACTGTCCAAATCATTGGGGCGTACATAATAAAAATGTATTTCTTGCGGGGCTCAAGCATGAGTGGCTAGTAAGGATCCCCAGAGGCCACAGGAAAAGCAAGGTTGGTTGGGGCGTCTGTAACTCTGTGGGGAAGTGAGAAGCTTTATAGTTTATTCTCTTTCTCTCTTTCTCTTTCAAGTGGGTTCTCCTGTCTCCTAATAATATCTTCTCCAGCTCAGCTGGGCTTCTCCTGGCTCAACTGTCCCCAGCTGTCTTCTTACTCTGTGCACCTCACTTCCAACTGTCTCTTGTTTTCATTCTGCTCAGTCTCTTTTCTCTCTAGCCTGATTCTCTCTTCTTTCCTCTTAAATCAACTGTCTTCTCTGACCCTACTCTTCTGCCAGCTGGATCCCTCCTCCAACCCTATTCCAACCTCTCTGCATGTGCTGGCTTTTGTTTTGTTTTATTAGCACTTCCCTTAAGATCTTTCTACAAATGCTTGCTTAAATCCCTCCAGTTTCCCCAATTTCCTTTTTTTTTTTATAACAAATCCAGCGAGCTCCATGGGCTGGTAGTCTCTTCTACGTGTTGAACCTCGGGCTGCTCAAGTGCCTATCATTTTTCTTTAGTTAAGAGTCATTGCTCTATCCACACAGGCTTGTTAGTCAGCCATTTTAAGGGTAGGGCCATTGGGAGAATTTCAGCAGTGGGCCCCTTATAAAGTTAGAAACTCAATCTGTGTTGCATCCTGTTTTTGGACAACCTGCAGTTTGTGGTTGTTCTGGTTGACATTTTTTTAAAATACTTTTCCCAGAAGCCTCTTCCAGTTCACCCCTTATTTTAGGGATTGCCTCTGGTATTGAGTGAATATTAATGAGTTTCTCACAGCTGTAACAAATCTTGTCCCCACAAATTTATGGCTATGGCAGCCACATAAGGTCTCAACTTTTCTATTTAACCTTCTGGTCCTACACGTTTAACCCATCACACACTTTGTTGTATCTGAGATAACTTTCCAATTCCTAGAAACTAGGTATAAACCTTCTAAACTGGCCATTTCCCTGTGTAGTCCTGGCTGTCCTGAACTCACATTGTACACCAGGCTGGCCTCGAACTCACAGAGATCCATTGCACCTGGCTGAATTCCCAGATTTTCGTGAAATGATCAAATTTTTTTGTTTCAATCTCATTCACTTGCAACTTTAATTTTGGCCGTTGATCATTAACAACCATTTGCCAGAACACACACTTTCTAGTACTTCCAAATATTTCTCATCTTTCTACTGGAGCAGCTTTGCCTTTGATTCAGGGAAACAGTAACTGCTGAGCAATCCCATCACCTGTGTTAGCTGCATATCTTTTAAAATGTAAGCCATTGTTTTAATTTCTCCTTTGAAATCTTCATCTATAATTTCTGGATGCACAGTGAATCTTTGGGAAGTCAAACTGCCTCTTCCCAAGGCCATTCCTACTGAGCGCAGATCGCCAAGACTTGTTGGTCAGTCAGGCTACAGGTGAGTGTCAAGTTTAGTGAGAAGCAGGTCTCTAAAGATGTGGTAGAGAGTGACTGAAGAAGACACAGGATCCAACTTATTCCTATACATAGAAATAAATATACATTTCAAGGGTAAAAGATCTTAGCCAGTCAGTGGTGTTACACGCCTTTAATCCCAGCACTCAGGAAGCAGAGGCAGTCGGATCTCTGTGAGTTCAAGGCTGGCCTGGTCTACATAGTGAGTTCCAGGATAGCCAAGGCTAACACAGGAAAACCCTGTCTCAAAAAACCTGAACCAAACCAAAACAAACCAAAACAAAAAAAACCCCACAACCAACCAACCAAACAAAACCCAGTGAGTGTCACAGTTAATTCCTGCCCCTCCCAAACCTGCCAGAGTTCCAGGAGGGTAAACCTACCACTACAGATGATCTCATTCCCGGAGCACTTGTACGAGTATGAGTGGGTGTAGGGGTTGTCCAGGAGGGATTTACAGCTTTTCAGCCTCTTGGCCTTAGTGTAGCAATTGTCATGGATCTGGCAGCACCTAGAGAAAGGAAGGGGCAGCTGAGGAAGGGGCAAAGTCGCCCAGGAGGTCAGTTCTTACCTGCAGCCTTTCTCCAACATGTGGGGCTGACTTACACACACTGTTCCAGAAGAAATGGCCCTAAGGCTTGAGAATCTGAGATCTCTATTAGCATGTATCTCATGAAAGCAACTTTTGCCCAGTGTGGTGGCGCTCGCCTTTGCTTAATCTCACTACTTGGAAGGCAGAGGCAGGTGGAGCTCCGAGTTTGAGATCAGCCAGGGCTCTATAGTAAGACTCTGTGTTAAAAAAAATGAATTTTTTTTTTTTTTTTAAAAACAGCTGCAGGAATACAGTGAAGTTATATATTCTGAACTTGCAATGACATTTTAAAGCCAAGGCTGGCA